AGACAGACAGACAGACAGACAGACAGACAGACAGACAGACAGACAGACAGACAGAGACAGACAGACAGACAGACAGAGAGAGAGAGAGAGAGAGAGAGAGAGAGAGACAGAATGAAAACATGATAAAATCTTTTCGCAGATAGAATATGAATTCGTTGAACCCTAACTGGCACTGGCAGTAGTGCTGTGGAGTAAGGGCTCAAATCTTGTTGATTCAGTCTCTGACATATTTTTGCGAGTGGATAGAGGGCTTCACTGGTAGGTCTTACCTCTTTACTTTCCCTCTGTTGTTTCTGTCTGTCTGCCTGTCTTACTTTTCCCAGCAGTAAAGGATCATTATTGTGACAATGTGCTTGTCTTTACTCAAGCAAACAAAGTGGGTGGTTGGCGGGTGCTCTGGTGTGGTTTGCTTCTTCTTTCCTATCAAATATCTATCATCCTTATCTCCCCTCCTTCTTTTTTATGTTTGTTACTCTCTTGTAACACCTCTAATCTTCTGGCGCTCATATGACCTTATGCAGTTGTGAGCCGTAAAACATCTACTAAAACTAACTCTCTTGTAACACCTCTAATCTTTTGGCTCTCATATGACCTTATGCAGTTGCGAATGCCATAAAACCTCCACTAAAACAAAGTAGAACAAAAAAATAACTTATTTCTTCTCGTCCTCAGGTGTGTAAGGCGTGGTTCTACACGCCGGAGGAGCTGGCGCGGCACATGAAGCGGCATGGCGAGCGGAACTTCAAGTGCACCTGGCCGGGCTGTCACTGGACGTTTGTTCTGAGCGGGGAGCTCAAGTCCCACATGTTCACTCACACGGGGGAGAAGAAGTACCTGTGCGACATGTGTGGCTTCGGCGCGCCCACTCGCACCAGGCTGCGCCGCCACGTCAAAAGTCACGAGAAAACGAGAAACTTTAACTGTGAGTACTGCCCCTACAAGGCCACCTGCAAAGTTCACTTGAAGCGGCACATGAGGATCCACATCAACTCGCGTCCCTTTGCCTGCCCGTACTGTAACTACACGTGTAATACACATGAGAATATACGTAAGCACATTCTCAAAACCCAGAAACATAAAGGCATGAAGTTGTACCCGTGTAAGCTGTGCTCCGACTTCGGCTGTGACTCTAGCAAAGAGTTTAAAGCTCATCTCATGACGGTACATGAGAAGTACTTGAGAGAAAATGCAATAGACTCTTTGGCTGTATTCTCGGGGTTGTATAAGAGAGAGGAAGACTTTCAGAAGCCTAAAGAAGGCTCTGCAATTATACAGGTTACAAAAGGTAGGTTCTTTAGATCATACCAAAACCCTGATGCACAACCAGCCCCTCCCAAAGTCAAGAAAGGGAAAAAGGTGCCCAAAATCGGAGAGGTGAAGGTTGTTATTGTTCCACCTTCCGAACTAAATCTAGATGGTGATTTAAACCCGCATGATCAGCAGCAGCAGCAGCAGCAGCAGCATCAGCAACAACAGCAACACCAACAGCAGCAGCACCAGCAACTTCAACAACAGCAGCAGCAGCAGCAGCAGCAGCAGCAGCAACAGATCTTGGTTCAGCAGCTGCAGCCTCAGCCTCAGCAGCACACAGTCATCGTGCAGCAGCAACAACAGCAGCAGCAGCAACCAGTGGCGGAGTTAGGTCAGGAGAACACGCCCTTGGAGATGCACGTGGAGACCATGGTGGACGGGGAGCAGGAGCACTACATTGAAATACCCAACATGGTCATTCAGTCGTACGACCCTCAGCAAGGCCAGCAGCTTCCCACGGCCGCCGTGTCCTTCCAGCCAACCATCATGCACACTCAGCAACAACAACAGCAGCAGCAGCAACAACAACCACAGCAACAACAACAGCAACAACAACAGCAACAACAACATCAGCAGCAGGACGTAGTACAACCACTTCCGGTGACGACCGTCGCCATATCTGAGGACAAAGTGTACTGGCGTCTGGTGTCCGATCAGACGCCGGTCGTTGCATCTGGCACTGCAGCCCCAATCACCGTGGAAACGCCCGAGCCGTGGTACTCTGGCATGCCACAGGTCCATGCGCCGTCCTCGCAGGAGCTTCAGCAACAACAGTTCCGTCCCGTGGAAGCCAACGCCACGCAAGCGACGGCCGGCAACTTCTTGCCGAACACGTACTTCTCCTGCAACATCCCAGTGGGCGGCATTCAGAGTATACAGAGCACGGTCAACGGCCAGCTGTACACCGGGGTGGTGGAGAACGTGGTTGTACTCAGTGACCCCACCCAGCAGGCTTCCAACGTTCACGGCTAGATTTTATGACTGCCGTGACTTCATCAATGTTCACAGGTAGATTTTATGGCTCTCGTGATTTATTAATGTCCATAGGTAGATTTTATGGCTGTCATGACTTGATCACTTTACTTGTATGCTGTAATAATGCAATTCTGATGACGTGAAACGCTAGCTGTCCTAAACTGAGGTGTACATTTCTTTGTTGTGTGTATATATATTTTGGAATGTTCTCACAGTCATAAACACAATTACTCAGGTCATTTTTTTTTTTTTCTAGTCACTGGTATAGTAAACATGGCTGTTACTTGACTGATATCCTCAGTATAGGAAGGGGGGGGGGGGGGGGGGGGGGTCATGTACTGGTACTAAATTCCAGTTATGGAGACAATATCATGTTTGCTTAAGTCATAAGGTTTTTCTCTTAAGTTTTCTCAACAACAAAAATGACCTGACAGTTGTGTTGTGACCGTGGTACTACAGTATTCTACCTCCTCCTATACATGGAAATGTGTGAGTCTTCCCTTGGGGCAAAGGAAATGCTCCAAAAAAGTGCTCAAGTTTCATGAAATTACTGGTGTGTATGTGTGTGTGTGTATGTGTGTGTGTGCAGAAAGTAGAAAAACAATGTTGGACGTTATCTGATTTCCATTAAAAGAACTTTCACTTTTGTGTACTTTTTGTGACCAACACCCTGGACTGGACACATCTCTCGCATGTTTGCTATTTATAGTCTGCCATGTGGCTGAATGCTGTCGTGTCTGTGCTGTATGTTTGCATCTCACATCATTGGTGTGTAGTATGTAGGGTGAAAAGGATGGGCTTTTCTTCACTCTGGACACTAAAGTCGAGAGTTAGTTTTCGCTTTAGTAGAGGTTTTACGGCGCTCGCAACTGCATAAGGTCATATGAGCGCCAGAAGATTAGAGGTGTTACAAGAGAGTAACAAACATAAAAAAGAAGAAGGGGAGATGAGGACGATAGATGTTTGATAGGAAAGAAGAAGCAAACCACACCGAGCTTCCGCCAACCACCCACTAAGTCCAGAGTTGGATTCCCGCATGGGAAAGATGGTTTATTGTAGCATACATCAGTCTTTCTGCCACTGGGGGTGTCAAACCTCCCACATTGAAAAAATTATTAGTCTTCCTGCTGGGGTGCACATGGGATGCACAATCCCATCTGCTGGTGTTGCCCCTGACAGGCTTGGTAAAACTCGTCAAAGCAGTCCACCTGTTATAGGATCTTATGTGTGTCAGTGGGGATGTAAGACATTTACAATTTACAAGCTGTCACACTTTAGTTAACCCTGTCCGTATGCCCTGGAGTCATTTTGTACTCCCGGGGTTGCATTCTTCACAATTTAGAATACTTCTAGTACGAAGATCGTCGTATGGATACGATAGTAAAACACGAGTACGGATAGGGTTAAGAGCTCTAAAATATGAGCCCCTGCTACCCATGTCCAGGTGTTTGCAGGTAGATGTGAAATCTCGTGGTGGATAATTCCGTCGAACATAGAAAGCCTGAACTTGCTCAGTCTCTGGATGTTGTGCATTCTCTCTTTTCTTATCTATCTGCAATCTTCTTTGTTGTGACCTCTTTCTGCGTTCCAATTTGATCTCATGCAAGTCTGACATTTGTGTGGGTGGTTGGCGGGTGCTCTGGTGTGATTTGCTTCTTCTTTCCTACCAAACATCTATCGTCTTTATCTCCCCTCCTTCTTTTTTGTGTTTGTTACTCTCTTATAACACCTCTAATCTTCTGCACTTATATGACCTTATTGTGTTGCAAGTGCCTTAAAACACTTACTAATAATAAAACGGACATTTGTGTACTTTGCTTAGCTGTTGTTTCACTTGTCGTCAGTTGTATTTTTTTACTTCAATTTCAAGCCTGGCCACATGAGAAAACGATAGGTGACAACTCATCTAAAGTTGTGGCATCACCGTAAGTCTGAATCTGAGGCCCTCTGTGAAAAAGCAAAGAATTGTAGATGTTTTACTCCCCTATCGCCCCGATTTAGGTGATTGAGGAGGTGGGCTGCTCTCTGACTCCGACTGTCAGGATCAACCTAAGTTGGGTGAGAAACGGTAATCCAGCAGACTGGCAGATGTTCATGAATTTGATTTTTTTAAACCCTATCCGTACGCCCTGGGGTCATTTTGTACCCTTGGGGTTGTATTCTTCACATTTTAGAATACTTCTAGTACCAAGTTTTGTTTGAAATTTTCAGTATTTCTAAAACAAATCATTATGACAGACTGCTATGCAAAGTGCACGCATCGGATTAACGAGTAAATTTCCAATTTGAAAGTGGTGGCACAGGGTTCCCCACGTCGTATGGATACGATTGTAAAACACGACGTACGGATAGGGTTAATTTCCCCAATAAAGAATCAAACTCTTATTTTTTGAATAAAATGGTGAAGAACCTAAGCCTTACACCGCAGACACCAGGTTGATGATATATGGATGTTTGATCTACCTGTATTGTAAGACTGCAGAGAAAAAGAGAGAATTCGGTTTCTTATTATTTCAGATTGTTTGAGTACATTTCCACCTCAGCTTGGGAATGAATGTTGCTTTCCACTGATATTAAATATATAAGGACTTTATGAAATGTAGATATAAAAAAAACCTTAGCACTTACTAGTCAACATGACCATCTTTTCAAGATTTTCAAGAGTTTTTTGCTGGTTTTTCATGTTTTCTGTACTCATGTGTGTGTGCTGAAAATGTTCTATTGGCCACTTTGATTTAGTTGATATTGTCTATGTCGTGGAGGTTCATGTTTCAATATTTTGTGAGAATACAGCCAACAGCTTCACCCTTGCTTTTGATGTAGCACCATAAAGCTGCTGTTGTCAAATACATTCACCTTTTTCAAATATTTTTTAAGACTAGCTAATTCAATTGTGAGTGTTTTACCATATCCGCAAGTCGTTGGGCGGTCTCATTGGCCACAGCAGAAGCCACAAGTCATCGTAACCTTTAATTCTTCAAATTCTTCTATATCTCTGGGAACTATTTTCCTCTGTGGATGTATTGGTCATTGTCAGACATTTACAATGATCTATTATGATGATTATATTATACAACCCCATCAACACAATGTAGATGTTTGAGGAAGCACAACGCTCCAGCACTGCCAGTCAGGGTCAACCCAAGCTGAGTGACATCCAATGACCCCGCAGACAGTCAGAGATACTCAATAAAAAAACAAATGTGTGTGTGCCTAAAGAATGGTAGGCCTACCAAAAGTCGTGTTTTAACCGTTTTGGGTTAAGGGTTGTACCTTATACTATAGTAATAAAAAAAATAAACTCAAACTGCATAGGATTCTAAAGCTTCTTCTCTTTCCCAAACAAAAATACAATTCCTGTAAACATTAAGTGGAAATAACCTAAACAAACCACTTTCAACTTTCAGAAATTTGTCAGATGACCAGATAGCACACCATGGAGATTTGGAGATCCTTATCTTGGATTAAAAAATCGCTGAGTGCTTCAAGGATTAAATGACACGACACAATCCGTAGATAATACAAAAAAGGTTTCATTATGAGAACGGTGCTCTCTGAGGCATAGGCCCTACATTTACATTTATCTGCTGTAATTCAGTCACATTGTCAATATAGGCCTAAAACATTAAAACATGTTTAACCCTATCCATACGCCCTGGGGTCATTTTGTACCCCCGGGGTTGTATTCTTCACATTTTAGAATACTTTTTGTGCAAAGATCTCTTTGAAACTTTCAGTATTTCTCAAAATATTATTTTGACAGACTGCTAATGCTATGCAAAGCGCACAGGTCGGATTAACGAGTAAATTTCCTCTTTGGAAAGTGACGCCACAGAGTTCCCAACGTCGTATGGATACGATAGTAAAACACGACCTATGGATGGGGTTAATAAACAACACATTCCACATCCACGGACGATAAAATAATATATAAATAAGATCCAAAACTCCAAATTACCAACGATTTTATCTGTATTTTATTAAAACCATCTGTGAAATGACAAATAAAAAATTATGTGGATGAAACCAGACTTGCACGTATGAGAATGCTCAATCTATTATACAGTGATCATTTTACACTTTTCAGCCCCCTCTCCTGTATTTTTCTTTCACTCTCTTTCTTCCTTCTTCAACGGTAAAATAAAAGAGACTTGTCATTTCAGCATTCAACAACATATCAAAACCAAGAGCGAACTTTCTATGAGGAACTGGCATTGCGATGTGATCATAATGAACTCAAACTCTCTCTCTCTATCTCTCTCTCTGTCTGTCTGTCTCTGTCTCTCTCCCTCCCTTCTCTTTCTCTCCCTCTGTTTTTCCCTCTCTCTCCCTCTGTTTCTTCCTCTGTCTGTCATAAATTGTCTGTCATTTGTCTGTCATAAATTGTCTGTCATAAATTGTCTGCCATTCATTCTTCCATATTACAAGAGCAGATATGTAAAAGTAAAACTAAAGGCCCACCAGTACAAACAACCAGCCTCATATAAAAGCTTTCCCCCGACATCAAACAACGGTGCATGCACTACAACCATACTACATAAAAATAGCCGGTGAACCCACGAGAGGAAGGTGAACAAGAAACAAAGAATAAATATACGCGGGCGTCACTGCAGTCACAGTGGCGAGTGACACCAGGTGAAGTCATGCAGTCACATCAACAGTGAGTGACATGAGGTGAAGTCATGCCGTCACATCAACAATGAGTGACACGAGGTGAAGTCATGCCGTCACATCAACAGTGAGTGACAGGAGGTGAAGTCACGCCGTCACATCAACAGTGAGGGACACGAGGTGAAGTCACGCTATCACATCAAAAGATATTTGCATAAAAAATCTGTGTGTTATCTCTGTGTAGCCAAATCTGGCCGAGCAAATATGGATACGTAATGACGTAATAGTAATACAATTGTGAGACATCAAAGTGTAATCAGGCACTCGTCAAAATAATGAAATCGCCGAAAAAGGTACTTTTCCTTCAGTTTGGCAATTTTTATCGAATGTCCATATCAAATACATTTCCATGTGAATCTTACTGAAAATTGTTGACCAATGACAAAAAAATGTGTAAGTTTTCAGATTCCAAGGACTCTCAATCATTAGAAGTTACCAAACTTTGGCGGCCATTTTCTCCATAATTTTACCTCTGAAACCACTATGCTACCCCCCCTCCTTCAATCGTACATATTTCGACTTCTATTCAACATATATGGATATTTTTTCACCAAAAGGAAGGCAAATGAACAGGCTTTAAGATGATACTGATAACCCCATAAACCCAAAAATTGACGAGCGCCTGATTCCACCACGTCGCGACACAATTATGCCATGTGAGAACACTACAATTCACAAGGACTTGAAACACTCAGAGCTCTGGCATACTTACAAAACCTTTGTTGTATACATATATATATATATATTATATATATATGCTTAAAATGACTAACATTCTGTAGTTCAAACAAGCCCAAGCTTCCAACAACGTTGAATATGAAATGGCCCTTGTAGTATACTCATATCCACTTATATCTGACCACAAAATTAGCTGCTAGTTGCCTGGGAACGTAGAGAAATTGGCAAGCACCTTTTCTCTTCATCCTTTCTTTTTATCCCCATCCCCACCCACCTTTATTACCATAGTTATTGAAATGTTGTCTGGATTCTTGACCCAAAAAAACTTAAACATCTGGAACAGTAAATAACTGCTTTTAAGTCTGTACTCACAGCTGGACATGCAAAACTAAAAGAAAATACAAAAATACAAATACAAAAAAATAAATTAATTAGATTTTCACCATCTTCACAAAGTGTAGCAGGGCACAACTTTAGCTGTGAGTGTAAGTTATCATACAAAAATACCACAGCAGGTGATTACAAAGAAATAACCAAAGTATATATATATTATATCCTATTGACCACCATTTCAGAATATATAAATATAGCAAAGATGTACACATGTACTTTATATCAAAACATTAACACATGTGTCGTGGGACGTGCACAGCACTTAACACAAACAACACAGCAAACTAGGGAACGGGTAAAAAAAAAAAATACATGGTGAAATTAAAACTCACACACATACAACAATTCCAAAAAAGAAAACATGGAACAGCTAACATTAACACTTTGCCATCATATTTGGGGGGAAATCAAAAGAAACTGGGAGGTAAACATCGCCAATCGGCGAGATGAGGCAGCAAAGTGTTAAGCCATTGCTAAAAGATTGTCCTGATGAACAAAACTCACACTGGTGAACAGTGAGGCCAAACCAATGACTTTTTAAAACTAATTTATAAAATAAGTTTGTGAATGGCAAGAGCCATAACATATACTTAGATCTACTCTACAGAAATGCATGCAGCCTGATGCCCAATGAATGTATGGTGGAAACTTGATATAACAGAGATGGTGGGACCAGAGAAAAAGTCCTGTTGTATCAGATCCCTGTTAAATCAGAAATGCAAGGGAAGTAAGCATTTGTGGAATAGTCCAGCTGTATTTATGGGTAGTTTCCCTTGCCACAAGTATCCACATACAGAGTTTTTATGCTCTCTCTCTCTCTTTCTTTTACTTTTTACACATTGTTAACGAACCTTTGTCCCTGCTATAACTGGTTGGGCTCTGATGAGGCCCTGTTATTGCCAATAAATTTTAACAGCGACAAAGAGTAGGAAAAAACGGGGATTTTTAAAATCCCTGTTATTACCGGATCCCTGTTATTACCGGCCTGTTATGGTTTCCACTATCTCTTAATAAGCATGACCACCACAAAATCCGGCTTTGGTTCCTTCAAGGGGTTAATCAACAATGTTAGGAAGTAAAATGCTAAAATGATATCAAATTGATTATATTATACCCACAATTTGCCCAAAACCTGCCCAATCAATCCATATGAAATAACCTGACATCATGGATTTTGCTCATGTCATGAAAATAGTCAAGTAACATTACAAACCGGGAAACTGGCTCCAACCAACATTTCATTGAATTTTATACAAGCTGTCTCTAAGATTTAATCTTTGAAAAACATGTCAAAAGACTGGCAATATAATACGAAAGCATAATATGAATTTAAAGGGGTGGGATGGTTTTAGGGACATCTTGCATGCTCACAAAAATCAGATGTCTCTTCAACAGATGAGTGTGCTAGAAAAGATGAGTTGGGCAATTTTGAAAAAATAGAGACCAGATGAATGTCCCTTTCAAACAACAGAAGCAAAGCGACTTTAAAGACAAAATAATCATCTTAAATCCAGAGCGGTCTTAATAAATTGACAATTTTTAAAAAGATTTTCTTATAATTCTTTTTTCCCTTTCAAATGTCTGTCTTCCTTCAAACACATCTTGGACAAGAGGCGCAAAAATTCCTGTGCACACACCATACGTCACACGCAATCAGACAAAAAAACATATCTGTGTTATGTATACAAACATGAGCTCAAAAACAAACAAACGGACACATAGACATCATATATGTAACATATTATATCAAGATGTGAAAAAATAGACAAAGGATCTATCAGAGGTTTAGTCCACTACAAGGCAGCATTAAATAGAAAGACCACAGTAGACCCAGCAGTTTCTTCCTCTCTATCCATGGCTTCGTTCATGCCAACAAGTCCTAGTAGTTTCTACCTCTCTATCCATGGCTTCATTCATGCCAACAAGTCCTAGTAGTTTCTACCTCTCTATCCATGGCTTCGTTCATGCCAACAAGTCCTAGTAGTTTCTACCTCTCTATCCATGGCTTCGTTCATGCCAACAAGTCCTAGTAGTTTCTTCCTCTCTATCCATGGCTTCGTTCATGCCAACAAGTCCTAGTAGTTTCTTCCTCTCTATCCATGGCTTCGTTCATGCCAACAAGTCCTAGTAGTTTCTACCTCTCTATCCATGGCTTCATTCATGCCAACAAGTCCTAGTAGTTTCTACCTCTCTATCCATGGCTTCGTTCATGCCAACAAGTCTTAGTAGTTTCTACCTCTCTATCCATGGCTTCGTTCATGCCAACAAGTCCTAGTAGTTTCTACCTCTCTATCCATGGCTTCGTTCATGCCAACAAGTCCTAGTAGTCTCCAGTGAATTCAATTAATACATAATATATGTGAGGGGTGAGGCAGCGTGGTGGAATCAGGCTCTCGTCAATTTTTGGGCATATTGAGTTATTGGATTCATCTTAAAACTTGTTCACTTATCTTTATTTGGTTGAAAAAAATATCAATTTATCTTGAATACAAGTCGAGATATTTGTGAATGAAGGAGGTGGGGGTCACCTGTTTTCAGAGGTAAAATTAGTGAGAAAATGGCCGCCAAAGATTAGTTATTTCCTTAGCTTAAGAGTCCGTGGTAACTAAAAATTTACATTTTTTGTGCCTTTAATCAACGTTTTTCAGAAAAATCCACACAAAAATGAGTTCTTTGACGGGCATGAAAGATGTTTAGCCAAAAAACTAAAATTTGATAAAAATTCACAAACTGCGGAAAAATGCCAGTTTTTTCACTTTGATTATTTCTACGAGAGCCTGATCCACCACGCTGCCTCACATATCTCTCTTCCATGGGACAAGGTCATACAAAAGTGGCAGACCCAAGGACGGAATGAGACACATTTTGATTGTGAATAGTGAATAGCACTCAGGAAATGGAAACCACCAAAGGGCCCATTGAGTCTATAATTTAAACTGCGAATAGCTCCCCTGCTCAAGTCAGAACTTCTCAGTTTAGTTTTAGTAAGAGTTTTACGGCACTTGCAACACAATAAGGTCCTACAAATGGCGAAGAATTTGAGGTGTGACAGGAGAGTAACAAACACAGAAAAGAAATAGGACATACCAGGACAATAGATGTTTCATGGGAAAGAATGAGCAATCCACACTAGAGCACCCACCAACCACCCGCAGTCAGAACTTCAACTTCAACACACTTTGATTAGCAACTAAAGCTGTTTGACAATCAGATGTCATAAACGCGTTTTGAAATGAAACTACACAATAGTATGCAACTTGGGAACTTTTTAGCAGCGTCAGAGTTTCATTACGTTTGAGTTGTAGTAAGAGTTTTACGACACTTGCAATACAATACAGTCATATAAATGCTGAAGATTAGAGGTGTTACAAGAGAGTAACAAACACACAAAAAAGAAGGAGGGGAGATAAAGACGATGGATGTTTCATAAAGAAGAAGCAAACCACACCAGAGCACCCGCCAAGCACCCACTTTCATTACGTACAGATCCTGTCCATGGAAAAAAACATGACAACACTCAACAAAAGAGTCAGCCAGCCAACGACAATGTGGAGAAAAATGAAAAGTGACCTGGCACAAGTATCAGGGAGCCAAACAAAACAAAACAAAAGAAGCGAAACAAAAGAAAATCAAAGAAAATCAGCACAACCCTGAGCAACACTGGAAAGTATACTGTGGACATTATGGCACACAATTAATCTGTATTCTGGGGGAATCGGATAATACTTCACTGAAAATTGTACGAGGAGAAAAAAAATGATAGTTCGAATGTTTTGTTACTTATCTGATTCCGTCCATTCGGCCGCTGACAGCGGCTCCGAGTTTTTCCGCTGCCTCCACTCGGCCGCTGTGAGCGGCTCAACGAAATCCTAAACAAATGTGCACTTTTTAACATAGTTCCTACTTTTTAAGTTGTCGAAAGGAAGTAGAACTTGTAAACAAACCTGACCTCAATCTCTGAGCGCCAATATCAATTGAAACTCCGCGAAATTCTTGCAAAAATCATTGTTTTGTTGTTGCGATGTAGGCTAGATCTAAGGGTAAACAACACGGAGCCTGGTGTAACAAAAAGGCCCTTCAAAGAAAGATATTCAACTAAATTTGTGAAATTCTAGCATAAATGTGAGCTAAGGTGATATCACTACAATTTTGTGTTGATTCCTATGGATTATAAGGACTTGTAGAGCTGAGAAAATGCGTAAGTCGAAATTTTCGAAGAGGTGTTGCGCAATTTTTTTCCCTCATTCGTTTTTGTCTGACAGAAAATACAATACAAACAGATTATAGGTCATTGTGATTGATATAAATAGATTCCTCTATTGATTCCCATCACTTTGGTTTATGCAATACCTATTAGAGTAACTTAGAGCTTCACAGTAATGCATTGAATAGATGTACCCCAGGTCTAAAACTGAACAAGGAAAAATAATTCTGTCCAGAGCCTGAAAAAATCATGGACGGAATCAGTTAAGCTTCCAACAATCCACTGAGGACATCTAGATGATGATGCAGCCAATTAGAACTGTTACTCTTGCATATATGTATTTATTTATAAACACTTTTCCCTCCCTGATATAGAAACAAAAACTGATAAAAGAATTACTGGTGAAGAAAAATGAAAAGCATCGGAACATTAAATGATCAAAGAATCCAGCATCATAAAGACCCAACCACTGGGACAATGACCCAAAAACCAAATTATTTTAAAAGCTCTTCATCAGAGCATAAAAATGATTAAAAACCAAGGAAATTTTTTTTAAACCCACATGAAAAACAAAAAAAGGAAATGTATGGTACAAAAGCAATTTAGCAATCCAGAGCTGCACTCTCAGGCTCAAGAGATCTGTTAAAAAGTACAACACACTAGTCAGAGAAAGACTCAACAACCACAAAATGGTCATGGAAACTGGGCCAATTTTATGTTTTATCAGATATTGTCAATATCCATCAGCAACATGTTCCTCTGTTCAGATATTTAATATTGTACCAGCAATGTTATACTTCTATTCAGATATTTCATATTGTGTCAGTTATGTTATATTTTTATTCAGATATTTAATATTGTATCACAATGTCGTTCTTTTATTCAGATATTTAATATTGTATCAGTAATGTTATACTTCTACTCAGATATTTAATATTGTATCAGTAAAAGGTTTTTTTTCTATTTAATAATGTATCAGCAATGTAGTTCTACTACTCAGATATTTCATATTATATCAACAGTGATGTTGTATTTCCTTGAGGTGCAGTCACCAGCCAGTCAGGGCTGAGTGTGATGGCAACATTTCACCATGAACAGTAAGGACAACAGTTACCCTGACAACAAACAACAGGAGTTGACATATACATGAATGTTCTTGTCACAAGCAGACAGCTCGCTCCTCTGAATCTTTCAATGTGGATGAAGTCACGTCATCAGCTGTCTCTAGTGGGAGAAAACTCGAGGGGCGAGCAGACAGCAGGAGATCTTCAGAGGAAGAATACTCCCTTTTGTCTCTATTAACATTATATACATACAATTTTCAGCAACTGAAACCCTAGCCACTCCAGACCAACACCTTACATACCTCACACATTATCATCTGGGTAAATAAAGCAAATCAATCATGGGTTTCCATGCTCTCCTCCTTCATGCCAAACTAAAGCCTAAATAAAAAGCTAAGTGAAGTTTTTACTCATTCTCTGCCCTGCCCATGAAATGAACCATTGTAGTTCACTAACACTAATACAAACTGTTAGCCCATTACAACAATATCGCAATGAACATTCACTATTGCTCATTATCTGGAAATAAATATTGTAAAAAAATTAGAAAAGTTAAACTAAACAGTAGGACAATTGGGCAAAAGAGAACCATGTCGTTACTTGATTGTCAACGAGTGATTACGTAAAAGCAGTATTTAAACCATTCATTCCATTCTGGTTATGGTTCTAGAGAAGTTCAGAAAATTGCAATTGCTCTAAAAGCTAAAGACAGCAGCGTGTAACTCTATTTTAACCCAAGTTCACTCTGTGTATTATTTTTCAAACATTTCCCACCTTATCTAAAAAAAAGTTCTCATTTTTCAGGCACCATTCGTCAAGACATTCAAACATTTTTTATAACTTTTTGTAAATTCAATGGATTTTCTCAGTAAAACATTACACATGAAATATGGATACATAAAATATGAACAACATTTTGTGATTAAGCCATAAATCTATCTGTAGAGCATGGGAGTTTTAGTTTAGTTTGGGTATGAGTTTTATAGCACTTGCAACATAAATAGGTCAAATATGTGCCGGAGATGAGAGACATTACTAGACAGTTACATGCACACAAAAAAGGAAAAGGAGAGACAAGGACGATAGGTGTTTGATCAGAAAGAAAGAGCAAAACCCACCTGAAAACCCTCCAATACCCACCTAGAAGATGGAAAAATCCCTGAAATGGGCCACCAGTCTAATCACAAAGCACAATGTAAACATTACATGTTGACTGCACAAGTACCGTTAATGCATTGCATAATCAGAAAAAATATGTAGGCTTTACTGCGGCTCAAACCACATTAGGGTACCACAAGTCAGTGCAATAACACCACATTATACAATAAATACAAGCTAATGGCTCTCTTCTCCACACATAAAAACAGTTTTCCAACTTTAAATGAGTTTTTAAAAAAATCCTTACCATGGTCTGTACTACACCACCCTCACACTGAAGAAATATGCATCAACAGTGAAATTAATATTGGTATAATTTCCATTAATGAAATCCCAATCCAAAAACCACAGCTGGGCTAACTCTTTATCTCCGAGGGGGGTAAACCCACTACGCGGGGGAACTTTTTTGGTACTTAATCTAAAATTGGCGAAAATGTGACTAAATGGGTCATTAAATCGAAACTCGCGACCCTATTACGATAGTACTTCATCTAATGAATGAACTTCCGTTAAAGAAACCTGTTTTCGGCAATAGCTGAAAAGTAATTTGACATCAAAGTCGTTGTAAAGGAATGTTCCTGAGCCGCTCTAGCAACTCACCAGTTCCGACAGCGAGCCCCTGGAAGCGGCTTGCCGGAGAAAAAGAGTTAATTGCAATTAACTTTTTAAACAATAGTTACACCAAGAGTATTTCCAGGCAGTGAATTCACGTCGTGACTAGTAATCAAAGGCATCCTCTGTGAATCAGACACACACCTTCATCACAAACATTAATGGGAATAAATTAAAATCCAGTTTCTCGTAATCTGTGAAGGGCATCCAGTGAGTTTCTTGTGCAACGTTCTTGGAGAAAAAGGAATCCACATATCAATGAAGATATAAAAGGCAACAACAAACCTTTCACCAAAGTCCTAGATGGAAAACATCGGCTGAAACAGGATGAACAGACTCTACCAGGTTCTAAATTTTACTTTCATATAATATTTTAATCCTTTGCTGTGTAGATGAATGTCCAGTGATGGCTGCCCATTTGTTCAACACACTGTGCACCAGGCAATTTGACACTGTTCATATTTATTTTTTGCACTTCACACAAGTAAAAGTAAATTTTTATTGCTAATGCCTACTCTTGACACCCTTTCCACACTAGAAAAAGAAAAAGAAAAGCTGCAGCTCATTAATGCCGATGATCTATTTTATCAAAGTAAAGTTTACCATAGAGAAAATCCAGAGAGAGAACCGAAGTATGAGCCAAGTTGAACAATAGCGCTGCATGTTTTACCGACCGGCTTTGGCTCTGTTGAACTGGAAAGGATCGGGTTCTCAAAGTGCTGGGATATCAAACAGTTGTGACGGTTTTACAAAGCTTTGTTGTGACCATTCAGCTTAACAACAAGAATCAGCATCAAGTCAATGGTGAAGAACAGCTCTTTAACATCCAAGGCATCCAATTTTCTGGAAATATTCTGGAAAGTGGGATACACACAACATACAATCAGTCCGTGAACTCTCTGTGGCACAAAAACATCGCTCTTAAGACAACTCGCCAGCACAGAACAGAGCACATCATATTTCACAGCTGCGTGGCAAAAAACAATTTTTTGCTGGATCCGAAATTTTTTACCACTGTGCCTTGTCCTCAAGAAGTCTTCATTTATGACACAAATGTGTAGAAAGCTCCGGACAGATGCTAAAAATACTCCTTCTCGAGGGGTATCGTGTGTAAAATCGGGATAAAAAGCCAGTCGCATGCCTTGAAAATCTCAGAACATTATGTACGAGCGATGCATGACGAAAGGTAAAAGCAAAGTAAAGTCCCCCCATTCTAACACGCTTGATCAGGTGAGCAGATCTGGGGTCACCATGGGGGTCACAGCAATGTCACAGCTATGTCTTGAAGGGACAGGATACGGAGAGCTGTGATCAACACGCCACACAAAGGCATGGTGAGTGTGTATTTGTCTGCGAGTGTGTCTGCGTGCGTGTGTATATATGTGTGAGTGTGTGTGTGTGTGTGTGAGTGCGTGTGTGTGTGTGGTGGTGTGTGAGTGTGCGCGTGCGTGTGTGTGTGCGTGTGTGTTATACTTTACTTTCACGAAACGATAATGTTCATAACCACTGGTCCTCTAGCCGCTTCCCCTCACACCCCCGGCATCTTGCTCCCATAAATCATCTGCTGCAGCTTTCGGGGCCGCGGCCTCTTCCTGCGGGGCCTGGAGCGAGCCCGGTAGTACTGGTTGAACAGGAAGAGGGCCACCAATCCCGTGCCCAGGAAGGCCAGTACGGGGTACACGGTGGACCGGTCCTGGACCAGCGCCGGGCCAGACATCCCCGGCTGGAACCCCAGCCCCGACCCGTCGTGAGCCGCAGCCCCCGGAGCACCGGCGCCACCTACAGGCAGTTCCGGGTGGTTGGGGGGCATGAACGGAGCATCCAGGTCGATGGACAACAGCTTCTGGGGCTTGTACACGTTGCTGGGGAAACAGAAAGGGGGGGGGGATAAGTGGGAGGAGAGGTGTTTTAAAAATGTGTGCGGAAGGGGGGGGGGGGAGCTTTAGTTCAGTTTTCGTAAGAGTTTTACGGCACTCACAACACAATAAGGTCGTATAAGTGCGGAAGAATAGAGGTGTTACAAGAGAGTAACATACACAAAAAAAGGAGGAGAGATAAGGACGACAGGTGTTTGATAGGAAAGAAGAAACAAATCCCACCAGAGCACCTGCCAACCACTCACGCTGGGGAAAAATAAAGGGGGGATAAGTGGAAGGAGAGATGTTTTAAAAATATGGGTATGTGTGTGGAGGGGGGCGGGGGGGAGGGTATAACGTAGGTACTGTTTGAATGGGAATAGTAACAACATAATTAGAGTCTATTAATATAGAACTACAACTGCAAACACTTAATATTTCATGTTATGAACAAACTTGTACCTAGCACACACTAATGCACGCACACACGCATGCACACACACACACACGCGCACACACACACACACACAAACACATACTGATTACACTTGAAGCGGACATAACTGATTTCCATACGTAGTCAAACTTTCCCGCTGGGACTCAAAACCACAACAATAATGGTAAGATCTAACACCAAGCCTTCTCAGATACAGGAGAAAAGTCTCTGAGGTCCTTTGTGCAAGTTGTGCACATTAAAGATCCCTTGGCGGTTCAAAAATTTAAAATTAATCCCTACCCACCTGAAAATGTTTATATGTGTCCTACGCTCATATGACCTTATGCAGATGCAAGCGCTGTAAAACATGATTGATTGAGTAGGTGTTTTACGGCACTATCGATTCATTTTTGGTCAATCGCGCTGTAAAACATTTACCCAAACAAATAAACTAAAAACAGTCCACAAAGCAAACTTACGCTGGTGCTGACTTGTTGATAGGGTGAGGTTTGGCCCACACAAGACTCGGGCACGGGGGCAGCGGCCGGTGCTGAGCTGTGCCCAGATTGCTTTCCACCACCTTGGAGTAGCGATGCAGGTGGTTACCTATGTGGGTGTGTCAGGAAAGGAAAATTACACAGGTGTAATAATAATAATAATAAAGAATTGCATTTATATAGCGCATATCCACTTATGCAATGCTCTATGCCCTGAACATGAAAAATAAAGTGGAGTCAGTCGAAAGGGGGTATTAGCCGATGACATGAAACATAAAGTGGAGTCAGTCGAATGGGGGCATTAGCCGATGACATGAAACTTTGTTCAAGTTAAAGGGATACAATTGTCTAACAGCCCGGAGAGAAACTTTGCTCGAATATTGTTATAGCTGACTGAAATTTTGACTTAGGCACACAAGTAAATGCAACACTTCTAAAAATGCCCTTGCTACTCGTTATGACAAGTACTTCGATAACAAACACAATGAGCACCTGAATTAGTTCAAATTTCCAGATAAGCTGGTAACACAAACAAGAAAAAAGACATCAACCGCCATAAAATTTTTAAAAATAAAATGGAGGGGACACCTAAAAATTAGAAACAGAAATTCTGGTCACAAGTAATTCAGTAAGGAGGAGCAAACCACACTACAGTACTGCAAAACCACCCATCCCGGAGACTGTACTAAAATTTACAACTGGGGCTTAACTCTCTATCTTCTGCAAGCCGTGAGCGGCTCGCAGTCAGAACCGCTGTGCCGGTGTGCTAACTGACAGCTGCTCGGGTACATTCCTTTACGACGACTTCTACATCAAATTATTTTTCGGCAATTGCCGAAAACAAGTTTCTTTTACCGGAAGTTCATTCATTAGATGAAGTACTATCATTATAGGTTCACTAGTTTCGATTTAAAGACCCGTTTAGTGAAGTTTTCGTCATTTTTAGATTTAGTGCCAAAAGAGGGCCCCGGCGTAGAGGGTTAACCCACCCTCGGAGATAAAGAGTTAAACCACAAACAAGCCCATCCACCATTCTCCCCTGACATCGCGCCCACTCACCTTCCATGCGAGTCGGAGGCTCAGAGACAGGGGGCAGCAGGACCTTCTTGAGGTCAGAGAACACAGCGGGCAACACACTGTGGGCCGTGTACTCTAACAGCGCACTCAACATCCAGAAACAGTCTGAAACATACAGTATAAGTCAGTCATGATTCTAAAAAAGACAGACACAAAAAAATGTGAACAGGTGGACTTATTTGTTTGTTTTTGTAGAGGTTTTACGGCGCTCGCAACTGCATAAGGTTATCCGAGAGCCAGAAGATTAGAGCTGTTACAAGAGAGTAACAAACATAAAAAAGAAGAAGGGGCGATAAGGACGATGGATGTTTGATAGGAAAGAAGAAGCAATCCACACCAGAGCACCCGCCAACCACCCACAGCCATAATTTTTAAAAAGAGGGGGAAAAAATGTGAACAGGTGGACTTGGCACAAGTGTGAAGAATAAGAAACGAGAAAAGAAACGGCAGGAAAGACCGTTTTTATGGATCAATGAAGGAAATCTGGTTCAATACTTACATACAAGCATTCTTTTTTTATTATGCCATACCAATGATACTCACTGACGTTTAACCCTTTTAAGTCAATCTACACATCTTAATAATGATGATGAAATTAAAAAAATTATATACAAAAGTACTAATTGCTCAATGCAAGTTTCAATACAACCTATAATCCACACAATAAATTAAGATCACGTGTCACAGAACACTTTTCCAACCACAAAAGAAAGCAAAACAAAACCAACTCAGGGAGACTGGAATAAAGAATCAGGGCGAGTATTCATCCTTTCAAAACCATTAGTCGACTACATCCGAGATCTAGCAGGAAAATGCAGAAAAGACAAAGAAGATTCCTTCAAAAAGACAACCAAACCAAAAAAAACCCACCATTCTGTAGGACGCTCCTACCTTTCTGCATGTGGCTAGTGTCCAGACAGTTGGAGTCTCCATAGAGCACCACACGGCCAGAGTTGGTGCCAGAGGTCATTTGGTGCAAGCCTAGTATGGGCACGTCACGGGCCGTCCAGGTGTTGGCTTTGATTACCTCAAACCCTGGACATAAGAATGGAAGAGAGTTATTTATATCTATTTAGTAGAGGTTTTACGGCACTCGCAACTGCATACGGTCATATGAGCGCAAAATGAAGAGAGTTAAGCGTAAAAAAGTGGGACCTACCAGTGACGGTCTCCAACCACCCGCACAGAACCAGGGGAAGTCATTTAATTTTACACAAATTCATCGCCCATCTCTTTAAAAACAATTTTTAGCAGAGGTTTTACGGTGCTCGCAACTAACTGCATAAGGTCATATGAGTGCCAACGTCCATCTCTGATAAGACCAAACCTACTGGGTTGAGAGCCTTGAAAACTCCACAAAACGACTTGAGTTAGAGAACGTCCAGTGTGGGATTCAAACCCCTGCATTCCATTCCATTCTTCTAAACGGCAATTTGGGAGTTGATTTGTTCAAAATATCACTCAGTATAATAATAATAATAATAATAATAATAATAATAATAGTAATAATAATAATAATAGATAGCATTTGTATAGCGCAAACCCCCGCTCAACAGCAAGCTCTATGCGCTTCACAATCTATACTATTACACCAGCAGACCTGAGAGCATTCTGAAACAACCTCAACTTCCTGGGAAGCATACAGTGCAAGTTGCCATTTATAGGCGCTAAAACACTAACATTCTGACAAGATCTTTCGCCATCTATGGCTGGGTACCCATTCAACCCCTAATGAACAAAGTCTCACCTTGATTTTTCAGCGTCTCAGTAAGAAGAAGGCCATCCTCGGGGAACTGAGAGATGCTGGTCCCAGAGGCGTAGTACACTGGGAGGAAAGGAGGAAACAGGAGGGGGGGGGGGGGGGGGGGGGCATGAGATTGCAGCTGTCTTAGCAAAATCGAAGGAAACAGCAGAAAGCGACTGAGTGATACACCCCATAAAAGTTGAATGAATAACAATAAAATACAATAATAGAGGGCATATCCCTGCTTGTTACTTGTTGGAACCAGGCTCTGAGCACTTTATAATTTGTCATTACCCCCAACAGACCCTAAAGTATTCAAAAACATTCTCAGTTTCCAGGGAAGCATTCATAGCAAGCTGCCATTATATACACTAAAACATTTACATACTGCAAGATCTTTCCCTGCCTTACCTAAGTACTAGTTCCCACATAGAGGAAGGCAGGAACATGTGAGTAAAGTGTCTTTCCCAAGGACACAATATTGAGAAGAGATGCAGGTTCTTAACACTTATCAGTTACGAGTGCATTTATATTCAAACCCTTTCCCTTTAAAAAAAAGTCTCATCATACCTTAATTTAAGAGACTAAACTTTTTTCACACAAACATGCAGATATTTTTGCTCTCAAAATAAATATAACCACTCAGTCTTTTCACAGACTGTCCGGAGAACCCCTAAACGGATAGTAAATGCCACAGACTCAACACAGAGCCAGAACTTACTGTCATGGTCCCCTATCTTGAAGTCTCCTTCGTACACAGTGTCACTGGGGACCAGATGAAAGAACAACTGAATGTTTCTTGAGGCAATGAACAAAACACTGACACACGCAATGTAAGAACTAAGCCGAAGGTTTTTTTCCCTTCAGAGGTGTGGTAAGGTTACACAGTAGCTTAAGGCTGTATTTGATTTCAAACAGATTTGATTGGGTATTTTTTGGTAGGGCATAACAAGAAGTACATGGGCACAATATCAGTCACCGAATACTAGGGAAAAGCAAGACTGCTAGATAGAATTAAAATAGAGAGGGTAAAAAGTATGTTTTTAGTTTTAGTAAGCGTTTTACGGCACTTGCAACGCTATAAGGTTATATAAATGCCGAAGATTAGAGGTGTTACAAGAGAGTAACAAACACAAAAAAGAAGGAGGGGAGATAAAGACAATAGATGTTACATAGGAAAGAAGAAGCACACCACACCAGAGCACCCGTCAACCACCCACCAACATAATTAAGACAGAGAACAAGCACAAGGCTGAATACGGACAACCCACTAAAGCACAAAGTAAAACTTACCTGAACCCCATTCCCAGCGGGGCCAAGAGGTCGTTGAGAGCAGGGATGTTGGACCCTCCAGTGTCCGGCATCCACCATTGTCTGAGGGATAAAGAACACGTGCCAAATGTGGGGGGGATCAATTGAGTGGAATTTAGATGCCAATTCCTGGGTCACTATGTCTTAGTTTTAGTAAGAGTTTTACGGTACTTGCAACACAATAAGGTCATATAAGTGCTGAAGATTAGAGGTGCTACAAGAGAGTTACAAACACAAAAAAGAAGAAGGGGAGATAAAGACAATAGATGTTTGATAGGAAAGAAGAAACAAACCACACCAGAGCACCCGCCAACCACCCACGGTCACTACGTCTGGGAAATTAAATCAGAATTCACAACCAAATAAAAATAACAAAGTCATATCGTTAGAAAAATTGTTCTTAAAAAAAAACCTACTGACATTTTGTACAAGGTGAAACCAAGCCCACCAGCGTTTGAGGTGTAGTAAGCAGGACGTGTTAGTTCTATTCCCAAACGGAGAGGTATTTATCCAGTATCCCTATCCGTACGCCCTGGGGTCATTTTGTACCCCTGGGGTTTTATTCTTCACTTTTTAGAATACTTCTAGTATGAAGATCTCTTTGAAACTTTCAGTATTTCTCAAAAATTAATTTTGTCAGACTGCTATGCAAAGCTTACGGATCGGATTAACGGGTAAATTTCCTCTTTGGAAAATGGTGGCAAAGATTTCCCCTCGTCGTATGGATACGACAGTAAAACACTACGTACGGATAGGGTTAAAACAGTATTGAGCTCTCGCCCAATCAAACAGGAGACTCACCTTGTGTTTTCATCGTAGAACTTGACCTTCTTCATGACAGAGACGTTGTACCAGTCAGCAAACACAATAATGGACAGGCCGTTGTCGATGTCGCGCTTCAACTTGAGAATTTCCTCACTAAAATATTCCTCCTCCGGGTCCACCAAGAGCAGAGTTCCTGAGGAAAGCAACACAGATTTGTTCTGTTGGGACTTTTGTTTTGCTTAAAATTTAAAAAATAAAAATAAATTACACTTTTAATTGTCCCGGAAAGGCACTTTGGTTTAAAATGGCAAACATACATTTACATACATAAATACATAATTATAAATACGTACATGCATAAATACATGCATACATACATACATACATAAATACACAATATAACACAAATGCAGAACAGTTTACAACCATGCCACTGTCGGTCGCCAATGTGCAGCGCCCTGTATTTTGAGCTAGGCTTGTCGTGTCTTGCTCAAGGACACACCCCGGTGACCACCCATCTGATCCCTGTGTCACCGACACTTGCTTGACATTACTTGATTCTAAACTCACTACTCACTTAGCCACTGGAGCCCCCTCTTTGTTCTTAAATACAATTCTGTTAATATGAGTTTTACAGCACTTGCAACACAATTAGATCACATAATGCCAGAGATTAGGGGTGTTATAAGAGAGTAACAAACACGAAAAAATAAGGAAATACAGATAAGGATGATAGATGTTGATAGGAAAGAAGGAGCAAATCACACCAGAGCACCTGCCTACCACCCACTTTTTACACTCGATTAACAGCCCTCTTCCAGAAAATTCTAGATTTTCATTGCTAAGATTTAAAAAAAGGGACAAAATGCAGTAGAGTTAGAAAAGACTATATCTATGTTTAAGTTTTTGGTTTAAACTTGATTCCGAAAGGTACAAACAGGCTATTTGACAAGGAGCTCACCAAGGAAAGACACACACAGGCTATTTGACAAGGAGCTCACCCAGGAAAGACACACACAGGCTATTTGACAAGGAGCTCACCAAGGAAAGACACACACAGGCTATTTGACAAGGAGCTCACCAAGGAAAGACACACACAGGCTATTTGACAAGGAGTTCACCAAGGAAAGACACAAACAGGCTATTTCACAAGGAGTTCACCAAGGAAAGACACAAACAGGTTATTTCACAAGGAGCTCACCAAGGAAAGACACACACAGGTTATTTCACAAGGAGCTCACCAAGGAAAGACACACACAGGCTATTTGACAAGGAGTTTGAAAAACAGAGTTTACTTAACCCTATCCGTACGCCCTGGGGTCATTTTGTACCCTCCCACGTTTGTATTCTTCACATTTTAGAATACTTCTAGTGTGAACATCTCTTTGAAACTTTCAATATTTCTCAAAAAATAGGTTTGACAGACTGCTATGCAAAGCGCACAGGTCGGATTAATGAGTAAATTTCCTCTTTGGAAAGTGGTGGCACAGAGTTCCCCACGTCGTATGGATAGGGTTAAGTACAGTCGCAGACAACCAAAACGCATAGAAGTTCCCAGTTCTAAAATACAGAAAGCACATTGATTTTGTATGAAATGCCTTCACAGCCTTTCTCAGTCTCTGTTATAAAACTCCCCCCCCCCCCCCATTTTCAGTTCTTTGCACCTTTACAGTAAAAGTACCACTGGTGACACCCTTGTTACTGCTGCTCTTAACACTGATGTTCTTTAGATAACAATGGCAATTTATCTTAATAAAATTTTATATTTTAAGATCTTTTTCGGCACTTAAATTCTATATTCTTACTTTAGAAAAGCGCTTATTTCTTTGTAAAAAAAAAAAAATCACAAAAAAAATAAAATAAAATAAAGAACAAAATGCGGAGAGAAAATAAAAAGAAAGATGTCATCACTAAAGGGGATAAAAGGAAACAGAAATTGATGTAGGTGAATTCATTTCAAAACCTGAATGGCACTGTCAGTACAGAATAGACGGGAAAATAGCTAAGCAACAAGGACGCATGAACCATAGGTGGGTAATAAATCTAACTTACCATACTGGCTGGCATCAAAGCAAGTGAATGGAGATCCTGAAGAAAAAAAAAAGGCAAACAAAGGTTAAATTTTAGTGGTGACAATATAGGATCAGCCGAACAATTGAAAAGATAAAATCCAAAAAAAAATGTCCAATGACCAAATGTCTTCAAATGTCCAATGACCAAATGTCTAATGTCTTCAAATGTCCAATGACAAAATATCTAATGTCTTCATATCAAATCCATGTGGGTCTGCTCTTCAAGACAATAAAGCCAAACTAACACTGACATTACAGTAAGTTGATACTCTCAACAAATACATCAATTTTCATCTCTTCTCAAACAACACTAAGTGGCTCATAACTCTTCAAAACTAAAGAGTAGAACTCAGGATTATTTTTAAAAGCTAAATGTGAATTTTTTTAATGTGGTAAACCAGACAGTATTTTATGAGTCTTGAAGCTTCATTTACAGAAGCCACAGCTCGAGATAAAATGTGCTATTTGAGCTACAATTATTTAACTCCTCTCGTGGAACAAAGCTGTCAAGGTTTGACCAATCATCTGCAATTTCAAAGTTGCTGCCCCTGACTAGGTACAGCTGCAATCACCGTAAGGCTGTAAGTTAAGAAAGGGGATAAAAAAAAGTTTTGCAACAATAGTTACTGACCAAGGACTTCCACGAAATAGCCCTTCTCCCTCAGGTGATGGTACATGTCCTTGAAGTTGGTGTGAACATGGTCCCCATTCCTGTGAGAGTTGAGAATGATATGGTAAAGTTTAGTTTAGTAGTATTAGTAAGTGTTTTACGGCATTCACAACACAATAAGGTCATATAAGTGCCGAAGATTAGATTTTTAAGTTTTAGTAGAGGGTTTTACGGTGCTCGCAACTGCATAAGGTCATATGAGTGCCAGAAGATTAGAGGTGTTACAAGAGAGTAACAAACATAAAAAAGAAGGAGGGGGAGATAAGGAAGATAGATGTTTGATAGAAAAGAAGGAGCAAACCACACCAGAGCACCCGCCAACCACCCACCGAAGATTAGAGGTGTTACAAGAGAGTAACAAACACAAAAAGGAGGAGGGGAGATAAAGATGCTTGAAAGAAGGAGCAAACCACACCAGAGCACCGGCCAATAACCCACGTTCATTTTTTTTTGGAACAAAAGCGAAACAGACAAGGAA